TAGTAGTAGTAGTAGTAGTAGTAGTAGTCTTAGTAGTAGTAGTAGCAGTAGTAGTAGTAGTCTTAATAGTAGTACTAGTCTTAGTAGTAGTAGTCTTTGATTCCAGCAGACATAAACACTTTGCTGGCCTTCTCTTGCTTGACAAGGGTTGGTCAAGTAAAGACTTGCAGATTCAGCGGCTCGTAGTAAAGCGACAACTCGGACACCCGGTGAAGCTTTCCGGATTGTCCAGCCACACTACCAATAGAATTGGGATGAATTGGGCTAGAACCTGTTTCAAGGCAGGCTGCGTCAAGCAAGCCGAGGGTTGGCTCGTCACTCTTCTTCCTGGTGATGCGCTTAGTCTTTCCACTGATAGATGACATCCAAAGGCCTTTAAACCCAATGGATGTGAAACGAATGCTCAATTGCACGGAATTTGCGAGGATGGGAAGAGGCTGAAGTGGCAGTAGTTGAGGCGGTGCTGTTGTCAAACATCAGCAACATATTCTGGTCCTGAATATTTTCATCTATTGTATTGTTTCTTATTTTTTACATTTTTTTTCAAAAGGAAGCAATTTACCACCTGGCAACCTCTACTACCAACCTTCGGAAATGGCTTTAACTCTCAACTACTTGTACTGTTTACAAAGAAGTTTGCCAAAGCAAACACCTTCAAACATGTTATCTGATAACTTTGACAAGTACAGTTCCACAGAACTTTAGCATCTCGGTGTTTCTTGCGACTGACGAGACCAACATCAATACATTTGATCGGATGGAGTCCAGCGGCTTGTCTCGTCCCCATGTTGGACCCTCAGACAATTGTTGTTTATTCACTTTATGTATACTGTATATATTTTTATGTATAGCTTCTGGCTGCCTGCGTGTGTGCATCTCGGTGGGAGGATTTTTTTGTTCGATACGTTGCATTGCATTCTGTGCTGGCAAGATTGGTGGAATAAGGATATTTGCAAGCACATGATGCGCGAACTTCGTGGCAAATTCCAAGCTGAGCAGGAACCAACCTTTCGCTGCAAGTGTTCGAAGTCCAGGCAGAAAAAAATGCGTAAACATCTTCATACGCATTGCGAGTCTGTGCATTCTTTTTGCAGCTTGGCCGCTGTAGTTTGCTGAGAGATGACCGCTGGACCTGCATTTGCTGCTCGCTTAAACGCTGCGACCATGATCAAGACTCGAATTGTTGCCAAGATCTCCAAGTGCGTGGCAGTACTGTAAGCGTAGCAACTTGCAACAGGCTTTTCATTTATGACTTTTTTAGAATTGTAGCGTCGTCAATATAACATCTACCTAGACGTGTAACCTAAGCCGAACATGTCAGGCTGGCCACGGCTGTTATGATGCTGGGCAAGTCGGAGGTGTTTTACTTGCTTTTGAACTGATGGACTTGCTGTTCTTCTGCAACCACTCTTTCTGAAAGTGTCGTAAAACCATGTGCATCACCTACTGTACCACTTAGCGACTTAGCGCAGGTGCAGAAAATTCTTCTCGACAAGGACACTCAAACCTTGTACCGTACCATTCTGTTGTATTTTGGATGCTTTGGCTCACTCTTTTCAGGAAACGATTCAGGCACAGTGTGATTGGTGCGGAAATCCTTTGACCCTAACCCCAGAGGAGGCCGATGGGCTGATGAGTGTCACATGCTTTTCTTTGCAGACTTTGAATGGTCCTGCAATTTCTGTGCAGGTGTTGGGTCATTCAAGCCATACAGACCAACCAATGATCATGGCACAATGACACCCTTTGCCCCATGTGCTTCACACGATTGATCAGGATACATTGACACATGTGGAAGCACATTCAAATACTGTAAGTCAAAAGAACGTGAAACAGTAAAACATCACAACACATCTTAGGTTGGAGGCCATCGCTATTAGGTTGGAGGCTATCGCTATTAGGTTGGAGGCCATTGCTACTAATTCCTGATCAAACAATCGAAGATTCTTTGCCATGGCAGTGGAAGACTTGGCCAATACACCGGCTGAGCGAGCTGCAGGGTACAAATCCAATGAAACTGGGGACTTTTCTGATGCCAAGGAGACTTGCTCACTGAACTCAATTCTCTTAGAGTTTTCTTTTCAAGGAGTGATCTTTCTTTGCCTATCTTGTAAGCTGTAAACTGTAAACCCAGCGGTTCATTTAGGAATGAAGACGCAAGGCAGCCATTGTGAGACACCTGCAGGAGGTCACGGTTGGTGGCATGGGGCACATTGTGATCCTGGGGGCGGGCCTGGTTGGATCGCTGTGTGCAGTGGTTCTACTGAAGAAGGGCTTCAAGGTGCATGTGTATGAGAGATATCAAGACATCAGATCCATTCCAAGTGCAGGGAGGTCAATCAACTTGAGCGTCACAAGTAGAGGGCTGCGAGCAATCAAAGCTCTTGGTGGAAGCCTTTACAATGACATCGTCAGCAATCTGACAACCAAAGTGATGGGGCGCATCATACACATGCCTGAGGGAAAGGTCCTTTTTCAAAGGTATGGCAAAGATGATACTGAGCACAATTACTCAGTATCAAGGCTCGATTTGAACAAGTTTCTTTTGAATGCTGCAGCAGAAGCTGGGGCGGAGCTGCATTTTGATCATGCACTTGTTGAAAGCTCGGATTTCTCCGATGAAAGAACCGTCGGATCCTGCCTCCACTTTCGGAGCAGAAAAGGTTGCTTGAAGGTAAATGCTGAATGCCCTGTGATTGCATGCGACGGCGCAGGTTCGAGGGCGCGCTATGCGCTCAAACGCTGTGGGTTGACCGATTTCACAGAGGACTTGTTGACTCGGGGCTACAAGGAAGTTCTGTTTCCCAAACCTGAAGGGGATGGCTTTGGTGCAAAAGGCGAAGATGGCAGTGAGCCCTGTGATGGGACATTTGGATTGCACATTTGGCCAAGAGGAGACCACATGCTTATGGCACTGGCCAACAGAGATGGCTCTTTCACAGGCACAATTTACATGGACAACGAGGGCCCTGAGTCTTTTGCAGCTTTTTCTGATACTCCAGAAGGCCGAGACAAGTGTGCTGAGTTCTGCAAGAGGCACTATGCTGAGGCCATTCCCTTAGTGGGAGGGCTAGACAGCTTAGTGAGCCAGATAGTGCAGAATCCAACGGGCATTTTGGGCACAGTCCGCACTTCAAAATGGTCTGCGAAAGGGAAGGTGCTCTTGATTGGAGACTCCTGCCATGCCATGGTGCCCTTTTTTGGTCAGGGCTGCAACTGCGGTTTTGAGGATACCCTATGGCTCAGCAAGCATATTGATGACTTCTGCTGCAGCTCAGGGCAAGTTTCTCTCGAGAAGTGCACAGATGAAAACATTGCAAAATGCTTTGCAGCGGTCGAGGCTGAAAGGAAGCCAAGTGCAGATGCTATTTGTGACATGGCTCTCGAGAACTTCATTGAGATGCGAGACAAAACTGGAGATTTAAAGTTCCAAGCGGCTCGGCACAAGACTCAGACACCTCCAAGCAACTTTTCTCCTGCACCCAACCAGATTTGAAGACATATCGAACCCCAAGATGCTTCTTGAATTTCAAAACCCAGAAGCTCTACCGCCGGTTGGGACTTTCAAAAGGCTCTACTTTACGCGTCCGTTAGCGGTGTGAATTCAGGTGAAGTGGTGTGGCAGGTGCACCAAATCCTGGGCGGTTCCAAGTCTCCGACACCTTCCTGTTGCCTTTTGTTGCCTCCAGCCCTAGAACCGTAGTAGCGCTTGTTGGTTTTCGAGATCATCATCATCATCATCATCATCATCATTTTCTTCTTCTTCTTCTTTCTATATACTCTTCATCCAGAAGATTGCAGACCCCTCTACAAGGGAGCCAAAAGGAAAAGAAACGCCCGCTGTCCCGCTTTTGTTCCGAAGAGCCTTCATAGATCAAATGTCATGAACGGATTTGAGGAGAGAACAACTTTCGCCATCGTTTGCTGATGCTCTTTCCAAAATAGGTGGAGGACAGCAAATCAAACTAACGAGGCAGCATGAGGATGGGTATTTAAAGTCGCTGGTATGCGCAAATACTATACTATACGTACCCACGCTCCGCATGAGCACGTTCGTGAAACTCTTTCATGGCGTGTTCACTTCACTGAGTGAGAGGGCATGGTGCGTCCTCTAAAGCCGAGGGAGGGGTCATCAGCGTCTCTACGCCTCCATGTGGTTCACACCTGAGTGCATCATGTGAGCATCATCCGACAAAATAGATCTGCGAAGACTAAGATGATCACAGGGTAGACATGGGTTAGGACACCTGCGTGAAACCTGCATAACTGCATAACCGTTTGGGATGCCCTCTTCTTCCAACACCACAAAAAGCATTATAACCAATCGGGGCCCAAATGGGGCCGACCCATTCAAGGCTATAAGGCTATGTCCTTAGTAGATTAGACTCTAGTGGAACAAGAAGCTACTAGGGGCTCCTGGCATCGCTACTAGGAGCAAGGACGCTACTAGGGGCTCCTGGCCTTACTACTAGGAACAAGGACGCTACTAGGAGCTTTTTCTTGGCACTCATGTGCCGTTGTGAGACTTGTGTCGCTTTGAGACTTGGTCGCCTTGCTACCACAAGCACCTGGAATTCAGCTTTCCACTTGCAAATACAAGACGTGCTCTCCACAACATCCGTTGCCTGGAACAACTTCAAAAGTAACAAAAACACAACTTCACTTTCCGCAAATGCCCAGCGTGGTCACTAGTCATCGCCAATGCAATCACACTGTGGCTCAAGTCTTCCTGCATTTCGGCTTGCAACCATCCTTAGCCTTCTTCTCTTACCTGGACTTTTAGACATCTTTTATCGAGTCACTTGGGTGCTCGGAGACTCGGCGACTCCTGCTCTCTTGCTCTCTTCTCTTGCTTCGGTGTCTCGGAGCCTGACTTGCGTTCGATTCAACACAGAAGTCTTGCCATTTTCCCTTTGCTCCCTTTCGATCCTTTTCGATCTTTCATGAGAATGCACACAGTCACATGAGATTCAATCCAAGAGGACCTGCAGTTGAGGCCATGAAGAAGATTGAGAATCGCTTGGAGAATTTATTCCCGGGCAAGTTCCGCAGCCGTTATGCCATGGTTTGCTATGGTGGGGAAGCTCTGTCGCATCTGTCGCATGATGAATCCTGTCCAAATATGTCCGATGACCAAAAGCAGTGTACAGCCAAGGAAGGCAATGTCTCCTATGCAAACGCAAAAGAATTGGGCCTTGTTCAGGCACAGATCCTGGAAAGATTGTGCCTCGGCAGAAAGCTAAGCCTAAAGATGGCGAGGCAGGGGAACAATTTGTGTGGATGTGGGCAATACAGGTGAACTCTGCGAGGACGAAGGTCCCAAGGTGGCGAACGACAAACCATAAGGTATCGCATTTTTTAGACCGAAATCTTGTCCAGCCAGGGGGCAAACTATGGATTGGGAGGATGCTGTGTTCTCAGGATTACGTAGAAAGTGTTGGCTCAGCGTATAAGGTGGGACTCCGGCTTCTTGCAAGAGCCAAATGCCGTCGACCCGAAAGAAGCAGAAAAACTTATTGACCAGTGCTTGCCTCAATTGAACATACTTGTGATTTGCTAGAGGCAGCGTTGGCTTGCCCTTCAGCAAACCACAAACCTGACTTTTTTTTCAAGAATTGCTCAGCTGCCTTGGTGTTGTATTCTGCATGCCTGTTTCACTCTCAGGTTGCTTGTGCCAAAGCAGAAGGAGCTCAAGATTGATTTATCAACCATTCGACATTGAGCTCTGATCACGAGCGCAAAGGGATTGTGGTAGAACGTGCAGATTTGGCCAAAGGGATGAATTGAATCTTGCTGTACAAGTTTGATAAGACGACGCCTGCCCAAGCAGTTTTCCTGCGGCTGACAGATTGTGGCATTGCAACATGTTGCAATTCAAGTTGTGACAGTGCACGGTACAGGCAATGCTTCAGAAAGTTTGCACGCCCATCCGTCCCAATGGAAAAATGCATGGTCGGTTGATTGGATTCAAGACTTTGTTTCATCAACTTTTCTGAAATGCATGTAGGCAATCTGCATCCATTTTGTTTGACTTGAAAGAAGGTGCAACAACACCTTACCAGTGACGAGGGCCAGCAAGAAATAGCAACAAGCCAGCACCTCAATTGAGATCGAGAATGCAAGGCATCAAGACAGGAAAGACGTTGGTCATTGAGAGAAGATAAAAGATATGAAAAAGTGTTTGGGCCTCTTAACAAGGCCCCCTTTATACAAAGGGTTCTCATTAAAGAGGCCCACACACATTCTTGTCTTGCATCAAATTCGGTGGACTGGAAGGATCCAGGTGCTGATTCAACAGTAGCATTCTTGAGTAGTCTATTTCCCAGGGAGCCGAATAGTAAGGTATGTTGAGACACAGTCTTGATGACCTGTACCCAAGCTCTTGAGCATATTGCAGGCAGCTACACACCCAGAGTGGAGCTCAGCCAGTGAGAATGATGTGTTCCGGCGTGTCAGTGGTTGATGCTGCACACCTGGACTGAATGACTGTTTGGGGAAGGATGAGTTTAGCAACGCTGGCTCAGGGCAATTGAAGCTTAAGGAGGACAGCCGATTGATGCCGATTGTAAGTTGAGACAACAGGAACAGTTCGTCTAGTGACACCCCAGCGTCTCCATGGATTGGTGATCTGAATTTGGCACCATCGCAGGAGGAACTCAAAGCAATGCCAGCAACTGGCAACGCTGATTGGAGCTAATCAATGCCAACCCTCCATACCACCTTTCTTTGCCAGACTCAACACAAATTACGCAACCTTGATATTCTTTGAAATTCTTGCGAGACTTCTTCTTGGTGGACTGAACAACACACTTTCTGTTTTGTTTGTTGCCCCAGTTGGCAACTTGGTCTTGAGGTGAGGGTCCAGGCAATAGTTTTGTGCTGTACTGTTGCCTTTGAAAGGCTGCAGCATCAGCCTTTTTTCGCTTGCCATGTGGCAACTCAACATTCTCCTGCTGCAGCATGTGCTGCGAGCAGCCAGGGTCGACCAGGAAAATCACCCGATGACTGAAAGCTGCTGATTTATTGGAATGTATTTGGCAATTCACTTGGATTTGTTCATATATAATTGTTCTGAATGAGATGTTTCGTCAAGCAGGCTCTAAAGCGCAAGCAGACAGAAACACAGCCACTTCAGACAGCTGACAACAACAGTCTACTGGAAAAACGTAACCTGTGACTGGCTAGAACTGAGATTCTCATGATAGTACGTTAAAGGCGGCATCATGTCAGCAACTGCCACTTGTGAAAGGTTGTAATGCCCCTAAGCTTTCCCTAGGGTTGCGCACTGGTGGTTTCCTACTGAGAGCAATGCAACCGCTGTTGCAGCTTGGCACAGAGCATGAGTTGTAATTGTTCTGATCGGATGAGTCTCTTTGTACTCATCTCGTGCACCATAGGTCATCGCTTAGGTCGGAGACCATCCCTCTTAGGCTGAAGGCCATCGCCAGTAGGTTGGAGGCGATCGCTAGTAGGTTGGCCATCCCTAGTAGGTTGGCCATCGCTAGTAGGTTGGATGCCATCGCTCTTAGGTTGGAGGCCATCACTAGTAGGTTGGAGGCCATCGCTTCTAGGTTGGAGGGCAGAGTGCGGCCTTTTTTTGAGGTACAGCAACCCTCCACCGGGAAGACCATCTTCGTCTTTCAAGGCAAACACGCACAGTTTTTGGATAGTATAGCAAGCCAAATGCAAAGTCCCAGGCTGGAGCCAGCACTTCCATAACCTCGCCGGGTTCGAAACCCTGTCTTCAGATTTAGGAGCATGATGAGTGATGACATGTGATGAATAGTATCTGAGTGGTTCCAGTGCCTGGCCGGCAACTTTTACTTAGACAGCTTATGATGGACATCAAGGCTCCATCACATGGAAGCCCGGATGATGGATTTTCTTGCTTTGTCATGGTCTGTGCGTACAGTGTTTCGTTTTGCAAAAAAGCAGTGTATGTATAAATAAGTATATATATATAGGAAGTACCATGTCACCATGTCTCATACCTCCCAAATTTTGCCACTGGGAACCATCATTTTGTAAGAAATCAGCATTCGAGAGTGGTGCAAACCAGTCATGTTGTAGTAACTCGATACTTGAATAAATGATGCGCCGTGCATTTTGTAAACCCAAACCGTTTTATAGTACAAAATGGGGTATCCTAGGTCCACCATGCTAATTTCAAAGACGATATATACATATATATATATATGTATATATGTATGTATATATATATATAGATGTAGATGCAGTAAATTACGAAAGCCAGCCGGTAGGCTAGGCTTGAGCTTCTAGGGCAAACGAAGTGAGTTAAGGGGGTGTGGGGGTGGGGTGCTCGCTGAGCAGGACCTTTTGATAGGGTGGACGCAGAGCTTGGTGGGGGAGAGCGCTCAAAAGCGAGGGTCCGAAAATCAGAGAAAATGAGGTCTGGTGATGCGAGTGATGTAATGGACGCCGAGTAGCGCATCATTAGCATCATGAAGGGCTTTGGAGACTGATTGGACAATGGGCATTGAGCGCTCGAGTGGAGACAGGGAGCAGCTGGCTTTCATCCCCCCCTTCTCAGGTACTCCTTATTCCCCCAAGCCTCAGCCATGCCACACCTGATAATCAATGCATACTTCCACATTGGGATAGTTTAAAGCCGTTGAGGTGCCAAGACCTATCCACCCTCTGGTGGCCACGTGGCGTCCACCAGCTCTCCACTGTGGCCACAGCCTTTAGCTTTCGAACCAATGACTGAGAGTCGCACCAGATCGGTTGAGACTGCTCAGGGCCCAGACAAGTTCCGGCTACGTGACGGTGAAGCAAGGTCAAGCAAGTCACAGGACTTGTAGTTTGGCCGTCACTCAGTTTAGCCAAGCGTAGTCTACGTTGGGTCAACCTCAGAAGGGAGGATAAGTTTTGCCAACCCTCGTTGTAAGGACGGCTTCTGGATGTTGAAGCAAACAGATGTTCAGCTCGGCCAACGCGAGTCGGCATACAAACATGGTCAGGATCCAGACAGCGCAAGCATCTGAAGACGCAGATGCACTGCACTTAGAGAAACCAGTCACTCTATTTTGCAATGAAACAGGCCAAACACCTTCAGGCTGTACGGCGAGTGGATGCAGCATTCTCTCCAACGCTGAAGAACAGTGTGAAGAGGCCGTCAGATTCTGAACGCCTTTTTACAACAGCATCCAAGATGCAGAAGGTCTACATCTATTGATTTACCTTGCCTCTCACTTCTCACTCCAAGCACGTGAACACTGCATGGCTTGTTCTGATGAAAATAAGAAAGGGACATGACGGTATTCGTACCGCATGAGAAGAATAGGATGTCCTCGTTGATTGTAGTGTCCTTTAGATTTCAGGAGTAATGGTTGATCAGTAGACCTCACTGCAAAAACAAATTGGATATTATGTACATGGATGCACACATGAAAGCATCCACTTGCTACTGTACTGTACCACAACAGTTTTTTGCTAAATACGTGCAGGGGCTCGGATGAACGTACTCTTGTACGCAAGTGAATAATAGTGAATAGGTGTCGGATGGTGTAGGTCTCACTTTGGTTGTGTGAGCCCGCTGTGATAAATGTGCCAAAATTATGACCGCGAGACGAGACTTCCAGGCGAGAGAGGGGCACACTCCAAGCGTGTTGCAGAATCCGCTCAGCACTGACAGTTTCGAGCAAACCCAGAGGCGCCTAAACCTTGACTCAAAGAAACCAACACAAATGAGAAAGAAGGCCTGAATACGAAACAAAGATGGAAGACTAAAGGCCGGCGTATTCAGTGAGCTGGTCCTCATTTTGCAATACAGGGGGACCCCATGGGATCCAATGCCCCATGGCCTACAGGCTTTGACAAACTTTATCAACAACTCAATACTGTAATATGCAAAACGGAAAGCACACGTGAGCAAGGAGCCTCCTTGCTCTTCACGTCAATCCGGTGCCTGCTGGAGATCCTCTTATAGCAAAAACAGACACACATGCAATTCAATGTCGATCTCGACTCACAACTTGTTTTGATTTCTGCTCTGCGCACGCATGTTCTTGCTTCGGCAGCTTATGACCCAGCTTCTTAATTTGTGCTGATATCCGTTTGATCATTTTTGATCTATCTGCAGTCACTCATTCGCCGAAGCCCGTTTATTGGTTTTGGTCTAAAGTTTCTTCATTCACCGTTGATGGAGGGTGCGCATTGGATGCAAAGTAATGGCATTATTGATTTCCTCATGTTTGCCACCGTCCAAAGTGTGCTCGGTGCGGAACTCCAGAGATTGGATGGAGGTCGCGACTTCAAAGCGCTCATCAACTACATATGAAGCAACGGAGACACACTTGTGAGTACACATTTTTTCTGCCCACTACCAACCCGCCTTCACAAGTAGTCACAAGTCGCCTTGGCATGCGGCAGCCTTGTTTTGTTCGAGCATGCTCCAACAACAATGCTTGTAGCAGTCTTAACATTGACATGCTCAAACAGACTCCATTGGTGCAAGGGCACACTGGTCGCAGAGGTCTGGTGGCAACCTCAGCCCCCCCTTTTGTCAGACCTTCATGTTTGCACCATGAATCAGACAGTAACGCAAACCGAAACCTTGAGGTGCTCCAGACTTGCAAGAAAGAGTGTGGACCTTACTATGGGGCTTTTCTGTTCGCTACAACGTTGCTGTCTTGGTTTGGATTTGGAGACCCAAGATCTACCTGAAAGTTCCACGGAGCACCACAACCTTATATATATATATATATTATAGATAGTAATTGGAAAGGCCAAGGCAGACATAGCTATATATATTGTTATATTCTTCCAGCTGCAATTGAGTCGGTATCGAGTGATGCCTAGAGTTAGACATGAAGTACGTGCAGAGTATGGTGAGCCTGTCAACTCCTCAAATGAGGTCGTCAGTGAGGTGATCAGAACTCCTCGCAGGCCTTCTTTGGTCGAGAGAATTGCGCACCAGCTTTGGATTGAACGTTTAACATTGAAGTGGGCAAACGTTTAAGCAATATGACTTTAAACATTGTCAGGGTGCAGGGTGCAAGTGGTGAGGTCCTTACGAATTGGCTTGGATCAGCACAAGCACTCTCGCAGCATGACTTGCAATACTTTGCAATGCCGTAGGAAGTGGAAGCTTCTCCACACCCCATACCACAAGCAGTGTAGGTGTGGTCCTCAAGATATTTGCTACTCTTTTTGTTCATGTTCTTCCCTCCCAGAATGATGGACAATCCAGATGTCAATTCTGGTACAAGGAAGTGTACCGCAGCACAAGCAGCTCAAGCAAATGGATCAAGGCAGTGTCAGAGGCACTGCTCTCTCACTCTCACTCTCTCACTACCTTTCTCTATCTCTCTTGACTCCCTTGTGTGCTCTTTTTTGCTTCTGCTCTCTTTGCTCTCTTTACTCTCGAGCTACGACCTGTTACTTTTGAACCGCTGTCTGCTAGAAAGCAGCAACGTTTCGTGCTCAGGAGCTGTTTCTCAGTCAACACCGTTGCAGGCGGGTGTCTAGCGGCTTTTTGTGCAAGACATTTGCCATTCATTTGGAATGTATGTCGCCCTTGTGCCTTCGCTGTTTGCCTTTGCAGGCAGTGGCAAGCCCATGCCGTGCGCACAGGCAAGGCTGATTTGCGGGCGTTTGACATTGGACATTCCTTACAATGCGTGCTGAACTGGGATGCAGGCCCATTCCACCACCTGCCTCACCTCCTCAAGAGGAGGCAGTGGCTTCATTGTGGTTGAATAGGTGGCAGAAGCTCCGGGGGAGTAAGCCGCAGATACACTACTGTAGCTTCAGCTCTTTAGTGAAATGCCCGGCTTGAAAGTGCCAACAATACGGAAATATGAGATATCAATAGGGACTACAGAGAAAGAGACTGGCAAGAACAAAATCCCACCTGCCAGGTGAGGGTTGTTAGATTTTTCCAGAGCCTGCAGTGGGCACCACCGGGCCTCAACCTCGAGCGCTAGATTGCAGTGGGCCCCACCGGAAATGAATCAGAAAGAACAAATGCCAGAGAATGTCAGCAATTGTGACAGAAAATATGCCAGATAGTGCAAGAATTTTCACCGGATAGAATGCCAGAATATGCGAGATAGAATGCCAACAGAATATATGCCAGATAGAGTGCCACAACTTCTACCACATAGAATGCCAGAATATGTGCCAGATAGGATGCCTGAATATATGCCAGATAGACTGCCACAATGTATGCTAGATAGAATGCCAGACAGAAGGGCTTCGGGGTTCCCCCAATGCACTTCTATGGTAAAGGCGGCAAAAGTTATTTTTTTAAACGTTTTTCCCGGGTCGGTCACCCAATTTGACATGTTTTTACCACATGTGCGGTAAAGCCGGTAAAAGTCGATATTTTTTGTTTACCGTTTTCCCGGGTCGGTCGCCCATTCCTTTAACCACACACTCGCGGTAAACATGGTACAACTCATATGTCTTACCGTTTTCTACGGGTCTGTGATTATTTTTGTACTAAAGGCGTGGTAAAACTTGTTTAAAGGAGGAAGAAGAAGAAAAAAAGAAGAACACAAAGAACACACTTAGATCCATGCTCGCAACAGCTAAATCAGTTTGGAAGTTCCAGCATTACTGCAAGTAGACCTCTACACGCAATTAGACCTTGGCTGAGGGAACGGAAAGGTGGCTGAGTCCGCAAGAACAGACATGTTTCACATCACGCGTTAGCCCTTTAGTGAAAAGTGTTGTAAACGGCTTGGTCAACAGCTCAAAACGAGAGAGATTAAAAATGATTAAAAGTTTGCCATCTTGGAGTCTTTTGCGTCTACTTGGTGCCTCAAAAACGCTTATTTTGAGCCACGTTGATCCTATGTTGAGCCCACATATCTTGGTCCATCTCGGTCAAAACTGCGCTCTACTCAGCGTCCGCGCGATCCTTCCCCGCTCTCTGCTTCCAACACACTCCGGTGCGGGCAGTCTTCGTCGCGGTCTTCGTCGCGAAGCGGTTAGAATCTATGTGCCACTGAGTCACTGAACAATTATGAACGAATGAAGTGCTGACCTGGTTGACAGGTAAGTGGCGCGTCTGAGGAAACTTCACCCCTGCAAGCAGAAGGTGGACATTTGGGTAACACATGGTAACACGTTTTTGGATTTTCAGCAACATGGCAGAGATGCACATTTGTTGAGAGGATGCCGCGAATGCAACTTTCACGATCTTGCATTGAGTATCGCACATCTTTTCCAGCCCTGGAGCTGTGAGCACTGCTTAGTTGTTCCATGTTGTTCCTGTTTGATGCCATCAATTGCGAAATAGAACATGACATATAGAACATAACATAGATCTGGGGCCATCCTGTAGGGGCTACTTTCCCGTCCTATGATGCCGACCTTGCCCAAGCTCGGCAGGATTGCAGAAGACCTTGGTTTCGGCAGAGGAGATGGACACTCAGCAAGTGAAAGTCTATGTCCTAGAGACTAGAACAGGTGAGACAGCTGTTGCAGTCGAAAGAGCAGATGGAAAGCGGTGGCGCTTTCTCCGGAACTCAATTGATTTTGAATTGGAGTGCAGTGCCGATGCACTTCAGCAGTGGCTTGACGGTTTGGTGTCGGAGCAACTGCCTGGGCTGCTCACCTTGCTTGCCAACGAGGTGAACACTCGAGGAGAAACATTGAAAGCAAAGGAAATGGAACGCAACTCCCTCAGAGGCTCTGAAGACTACGAGTTCTTTGGGCTCGATGGACAAAATTGCACTGACAAAGACATCGAGAGGGCTTACCGAAAGAAGTCCACCAAGCTTCATCCAGACAAGGGTGGAGACGAGGAATCTTTCAATCACATGAGAGAGAAATATGAGCAGCTGAAGTCCTTGCGTGGAGAGAAGCAGAAGAAGGAGGGCGGAGGTTCAATCAAATGGGATGCCAGAAGCAGAGAATCGATGCTTCACGCACATGGAGAACTCAGAGAGCAGCTTGTTTGGATTACTCGTCATATCAACGAGGTGGAAGATGAGCTGAAAGATCTGAGACAAAGACAAGCAACGAAGTACAGTCTTTCCTGGGAAGCATAAACCACACAAGCATAAGCATAGCATAAGCTATGCTGTGAGCCTTCCTTGAAGAGGCCATGTTCAAACCTAGCCGAATCAAGGCACCAATCTCTTTTTCCTGTATTCCTGCCAAAATTTGCACGGAATCTGATGGCTGAGAAAGCCGAGCATGCGAGAAGAGCAGGTTTCATCCGTCGCAGCTCAGAGTGACATATAGCCGGGTATTGACCCGGATCCTAATGACAATTAAATGACTTCAGAACTTCTCAGTAGACACGCTCGCACAATATGCATAAACGTCCTTAGTCAGCCTTTGCTTGACGGAGGACAAGCAAAGCGTGTCAGTGTTAGTGCACCTGAATTTGAGTCTCCCGGCAAACTGCCACGGATGAGTTCTGGGGTGAGGGCTGGAAGCAAAACTGGTCTTGCAGATTTACTTGGTGTAGAAGCGAGGCTTTGCAACATGTTTTAGAGTTTCTGTAGACGCAAGCTGCAAGCTGATGCAAGCAACTCGGGCAGCTCCTCGTACAATTTATATTGCATTGTGTTTGGATCCATGCTGTGCTGCCACAACGCTTGTATGCTTCGCAGCCTGGTCGAATCAAGTCACAACACTCGCATTACACTTAACATACAGTTCAAGTTTTCTTTGTCAGACAATGACCATTAATTGACATATGACTTGTAGTCAGTTGCACACTGATCGCAATTGTTGTGAGTATATAACACATGAAGCATCATGAAGCTTTACACTTGAATTGTATGCAGATGCAGTGAGATGCGAGATCTGTCGGGAGCACAAGAGAGCCTGCTCCTCAACTTGTCCAAGAGCACTGGTGAAACTATTTGAAAAGAATTGACATGAGATGGCCTCCACCCTAATAGCGATGGCCTCCACCCGATCCACCCGAATAGCGATTGCCTCCAACCTAATAGCGATGGCCTCCAATGTACAGTAGGTGAAATGAAAAGACATGTTATATGATGGTATTTTCATTTATTTTCGGTTCGGGTTGAACACTCGCCTCAGATTGATCCGGTGATCCTCCGTTTTGGTCTCAAGCTCCTGTTGTTGTGTTGTGGCTTGCCCATGCCGGCTTGCCTCGGCTGCAGCAGATCTTGCCGGGGGTGCTTTCGGTCAGGCGCCTTGCAGGGGAGCGACGCCGCTTTCTCCCCTATAGCCAGCTCGACGATAGCCAAGCTGTGAGTATCCTCGAGACAGCGCTTCGCCTCCTCCAAAATCCCATCATCCTCCACCAGCTTGTTCACCCACCGTGCCTCTTTGCAGTGCTGTTCTGCCAGTGCGCTTGTTTGGTTGCACAAAGCTCGATGACGGCTCGTTCATTCATGATTAGCAATTAGTAAAAGGACGTAGATCAGTTTTAGTAGCATGCAACAACTTTGTAAATGTGCCGGAGCGGCCTGCCATAGATGAGAGTCACAGATGCAAATCGGAGTCAAACAACCTTCCCACATGCACTTCATCTCCCACAGCTCAAGCCTTCACCGTGTTGACAGTTGCCTTTTTTCTTTTTAAATCGTGATCTTGAATGGATCCGCAAGGGATTGCCCAAGCGTGTGCAGCTGAGGCATCCCTGATTTGGTTCCCGGAGGCAAGATTGAAATGGATGCGAGAAATTTGTTGAAGTGGTTTTGGCTCAGGGCGGGTGAATGGCAGAGTGGCTTTCAAGTGGAAAAGCATTTCACTTAGATTTGAACATCTTGGGGGATGCATTCTTTGAGACTTCGTGTACATCATGTACATCACAAAGATTGAACATGTGTGTTGCCAAGGCGGGAGGCAAGCCAACACGGGAGGGCAAGGTTATCGCGCTGCTGCAGATGAAGGCGCTGGCTTTGCTAATGTTTTCTCCAAGTACAACCCCTGTGGCCTCCTCCTTCGTCTGAGGTCCAGCCCCAATCCGAATTGCTGAGGCCTGATGGTGTTAGAACCTTCAGAGTAAGACCAACCAGAATTAGAGTGGAGAGAAGATGAATAGATTCTTGAATTTTTGGATATTAGCCCTTTGGGAGTAGAGACTGCATGTCCTTGGGCTCAAGCCATCTGCCACAGAGCACGAGCATTGAGAAGACACCAAACGGCTTGACAAGTGAGCCACCATGCCGCCCTGTGAATTGGGAGACGCAAAGATTGCGTGCGGAAACTGGGACTATGGTGATCCTGCACACCTTACAAAGGTCCCTGGCAGATCAATCAAGGCCTCAGCACTATCTTTGATGAAAGAATGTGGGGTGAAGGCTCAACATCCAGGGCTGCTTGCTGGAGTTGCATCCTTCTCAGCCGGCATTGCACTTCACAGGATGCGACCCAAGAAGAGTGGCCCGGTACGGAGAGCTGTTGCCGTTTCCTCTGCTCCTGCTGAGGTTTACAAGGACCATGATCTCCAGGAAGGTAGGTCATGGCTGTCCACCTTTCTCAAAGCAGCAGGGGCAGGATTTGTTCTGGCAGGTGCAAAACGAAAATTGCAGAAGCGAAGCAATACCATGGGACACTTGGTTGAGATGCCAGTGAAGTCCACAGAGGTGCAGTTGGATGGTACAGATGTGGCGCAAAGCACTGTGCGAGCACCGAACACAGGTGCTCCAAAGGTTTCATCTTTACCTGGACGGATTGAAAGCGAGACAGGAGAGAGCCTCGGAGACAGCGAGCCGGAGGTTGTGAAGGTCTCCGGCAAGGATGGTGACATGGGAGCTTCCACGTTTCCACGCCGTGACCTAACTTGCAGGCGCGCTTTTGCTTGTGCTGCCATAATCTGTTGTGTGAATCATGTGTAATCCTTTGATTGATTTGGTTTGGGAGGGCGATCCCTTGCAAAGTCGCGAATTGAACTGAAGTCGAGCACCATGAAATTCATAAAAGAATGTGTGCATGTTCAAGCTGTGTTGGGTTACTTCAATGCAAACAGGTCATCTCCATCCTCTGGTCAGCCAACTTCCGAAGATGACTCTACAGCTTTCCCGCCGCCTTTGGTAGAGTTGAAACCCTCAACCAAACGTGCCAAAGCAAGTGGTGTCCTTTACAGCGCTCAAAAGGTTTGTATGCCCATCATGCATTTCAAGCGCATTCGATGCTTTGAAGACATCTCTCCCTTTCCATCGCGTGCGCCAACAAGGTCCACTACACCCTCCAGAAAGCCACCAAAACCAGTCGAACGGCCAAGGTCCAGATCTCCTGGACCAAATCGACGAGGGAAGCAGAAAGCGGAGGAAACAAAGCCGTTGCCAGTTGGGCTTGATACTTCAAAGACAGCACTTGACGGAGTGACAGTCCATGAACATCAACCAGAGCCAAGTGCCGAAGATCCAGCGGCGGTGTCAACTGTTGCGTGCGGATCCGACCATGCAAATACCCTGCATCTTTTGCCACCAAAGGTTGAAGCAGCAAGTCACTCGCAGCCGTTGCAGTCGTCCAGCATGGAGCAGCATGTCTCTGTGGCGGTGGACTGCCGGCCAATTGTGAAACCAGCCACTGACAAACAGCCTATGGCTCTGCCTCAGCTCGTGTCTAAAGTTGACTTGATTCCCACGGGCTCTGCTCCTGCGATGGTTTGGGACAAGAGGGAAATTGTGCTTTGCGGCAGTGACGAACAGACTTTGTTTAGCAAAGTGCCACAGCTCCATCAAGCTACCAGTTCGATGGGGAGGATTCGAAGGCCTCCACCCCCCACAAGCTCCATTACCGTGGGGGTGACTGACTACGAGCCACCATCTTCCATGAGGACCGCAGCCCAGCTACAGAATGATGCGGCACGGCCGTCCCCTGTGAGTCAGATGGAGCTGCCAACAGCTGCCACTACACCACTAAATGCACTAAATGCGCTGTCAACACCGAGTGAGGGAAAAGCATTCCAGCCTCCCAGCAGTGCTGTAGACTCCAAGCCTGCCAGCTCCTCGACTCTGTCGAGTTCCACTTTCTGTTCCAGCGGAGCAGGAAACATCACGCCACGGCAGCCATCCCAGCCTAGCACTGTGCAGCCTAGCACAGCAGCAAGTGCAGCAAGTGCAGCAAGTGCAGCAAGCGCAGCAAGTGCCAGTTCTCTTCCAGAGAGGGGCCGCTCGTCTGAAGCTGCAGAGGACGAGTCTGAGAACTACTCGTACTCAGGGAGCAGTCGCTCCTCCTCTCAGTCACCAGAATTGCATTCAAGGTTAGACTCATCGCCTCAGGATGATCCCGAACTTTCACCAACCAGAAACAGGCAGCGTGGAAATGAATTCCTTCCAGATATTTCCAACATGTCCAGGCAAGATGAAATCTCGCAACCAGATGGTCGGCCAGACAGCCCAGAGGGCGCAGCAGAGAGGTGCTCGGAGTCTGGCGAACCAGATGGCTCCATTTCGCAACGAGAAGTACTAGGAAGCTGACGTGCAGTCGGCTTCAGTGACAGGTATCACCAGAACTATTGACTTGTATGGACATGTGGCGTTTTGCTTCATGTTTCGGAAGCATGCCATCAGCTTGAATCTTTCAGGCTTTGTCCAACAAGATCTCACTTCAAGCCTTTAGTGGCAGTGTTGTGTTCCATCAACTCAAGTATATACTTGGCTCGAAGCTGCTTGAAGTGAATTGCATCCTAGTGTTGCAGAAGGCTTCCGAAGCCTTGTCCAAAGTTTAAAGGATTGCCACAGGCACGAGCCACCACAGTGTTGGGAAACATTCCCAAGTTGACATGCCTTTCAGTTCACAGTCACTGCTGTCACTGCTCTACATGTTCACTCGCTTCCAATGTGCTATTGTGGACGGTGTTTCGACAACCTGTCAGTATATATCTATATTATTATAGAGTGCATACAAAATACACTAGAGGCATCTAAAATACTAAAGAACCCATTGCATTATTGGATTATTGGATTAGTGAAGGAGTTGTGGACCGTGAGAAGACGTCGCTGCGATGACTCCTGTGAGCATTGAAGTTCAGACTCAGACTTCAGAGAAACTCTGAGTTGAGAACAGTTGAGCGGAAGGACATTTGGCAAGCTCGAAGCGCTGACAAAGGGCCTGACATGGTCCGAGAGTTTGAGTTTGAAAAGCTATCTATTTTTGAAACGTATCCTTTGCCATACATCATGGAACTCTGATGGAGAGTTTGCATTGGTGCTAGGTGCAGTCACAAAAGTCTACCAATGAGAGCTATGGTGGAGGGGCGATGGTGGAACTCACAGGCACTCCGACGCATTGAAAGCATGATCTTTAGGCCGGGGGGATAGGCCTAAGAGTAGCTAGTAAGTAGGCCAGGCGCTACAGTACTAGGCTAGGTCGCAGAAGCCTGAGGCTTAATTATTTGGTTCCTACATTTCTGGGAAACGTTCTGCATACTATGTTTGTTGTTTAGCAATTGCACGCCAGGGTTGCAAAGCACACAGGACTTGAATGGCCGCATAGGCAGGAAAATTCTCTTTTGCAAGTGCAAGCACATTACACAAAGGAAAACTATGTTTTCTTCCAATTAAGTTTGTTTGTCAGGCATCATTCGAGACTTTGATCCATCAACAACCAGATACACCGCAAACTGACCGCACTAATCTGAGGGATGATAAAAGTCGCCAATGCACTGTCTTAGCTGGGAATGGACACGAGGCTCACCAAACTTGTACTACAGTTACTCACCAAAATTCCGATATCCTGTTTGGGGAAGACTTGGTTTTGATCATCTCTCATATCCAAAGTTGACCGTCTCGGATGCGGCGCACTTGATTAGGTAGAACTCATCGAGGAGGATGGCAGCACTAGAAACGTGCTAGTAAGGTGTGGGTAGTGGGTACTGCGTGGTTTTTCTTTTTACAGTAAATTTGATGCTTTCACATTTGACACGTGTATTTCACCGCCAGGCAAGCAAACATTGACTTGCTATTTCCTTAGATGTTCTTTGATCTATGATTTGCTGGTGGGTTGTTACGTTCTTTGCAAAAGGCTTTGTCCTCCTGAAGAATCACAAGATCTGCCCAAAGAGGCACAAGCGCAAGCATCTCCTGCGCAGAAACCGCAGGCGACGTTGCTTTGATCATTCAGTGCAGAGTTGCATCCTTTCGGGCCAGAGTTTGTTTTTATTTCAATAGATTCGCCTTCTCTCAGCGGAGGCAAAGCAGACAACCAAATCTGAACCTGTTCGTGCTGCCCCAGTGGCCAGCTCCTTTGCCGTCAGATGCGCTTCTGTTCGATTTGAGCTTCATTGTGAGGCTGAAGAACCCAGCCAAACTGCAGCATCCCTGGTGTGGCTCACAGATGGACAGTTGAGAAATTCGCATTGTCACAAAGATGTTTGTCGTGTTTGCTGTCCATTTGCAAGGCCTCGGAGCTGGCAAATGCCGTCGAAAGTTGCAACCTTTTTCAGGTTCACACATGTTGCGACCTACTTCTAGCACTGAGTTCACAAAGTTTCCACAGCGAACTCTGCAAGATTATTGTCAGGTGCAAGCATTGCTTCGAGATAGAGCTGATCCCAATGGACGGTCGCGTGCAGATGTGCCACTATTGATGGAAGCAGCTTCTGCTTGGTTCTCAAAGAGGTGGAGTCAACTTTACGTGATGGGCCGGATGGATGAATTTCAGCATATTCTCATCTGACATCAGCAGAACTGAGGCAACCAGAGGATCTGGCCACCTTGACTTGCTTGCATTGCTGCACGGACCTCAAGCTTTGGCCTTGTGGCCGGCAAATGTAAAGCCAGGACACAGCAGCGGTCTACTTGTATTTTCAAGTATCAGAAAGACATCAGATTCTCATGAAGGTTGGGATGGAGGGCCGATCCAGAAACTCTCCTGAACCGAGAGCGCAGACACAAGGGCACCCGAGTACAACACCCAGAGGATTCCTGTGGACTGCAGTTCATAGTGTAAAGCTAGGTTGGAGGCCATCGCTATTAGGCTAAGAAGCTATCGCTATTAGGTTGAAGGCCATCGCTATTAGGTTGGAGGCCATCGCCGTTACTAGTTTGGACTAGTGTTGGCTGTAGTGTTGACAAACACACAAAAATTACTTGGCTGTCGGCTTGTCTTTCTAAGGCTGCTTTTTCTTCGGAGGTGAGGGATTCGTGAGACAAGACCTGTCAGCATGCTTGCTGGACATCTAGGCAGTGGCCCTTTGCCAGATCTTTCAGAAGAAGGATGCCGAGAGTGATGAGGACCATTTTGTTTGCCAAGGTTAAACAGCAGCAGCCAGATGACCATTTTGTACTAGTGTTTGTCGCGAAATGCGGAGAAACTCGAAGCATGCCTGCCCAGCACAGCCGAAACAACCAGAACGGGAGGAACGTGCTGTTCTTTCCACACTCGAACCTGGAGCTCTTGCCCAGGTGAGGTTTGGAGCAGTAGTTACTTGCACGGTGCCAATTAGGAATAGCCTTCATTTTCAACTCTACCCTTCCTACCAAACCATTCATTCTGGTGTAAATCCTTTGCCACGCAGAATCCATGCAGACAGAAGCAGTGTTTGTAGATAATTACAAACAACATATACACATGTTTTTTTTTTTTTTTTCAAATGAACGACTTGTTTGATGGTTCTTGGTTTCTCTTATTCATTCATTTTCAGCTTTAAGCTGTACTTCTTTTCCAGAGATGTCAGGCCAGGCGGCAACTGAAGCTGCCGGGTCCTTTTGCGTCACGCCCACAGTGTTTAAAACGAGAACATTGCACCTGTGCAATGAACGTCTAAACTTATCTTTGTGGCTAAGGATGGGAGGGACGTCTCCAGCCAGTTGCCTTCAAGCCCAGCATGATGGGCTAGAGGTTCACTGTGAGGAGATGGAGGCAGGACATACATGAATTTAGTAGGTATGTCGAGCCTGAATAGCCAACTGCAAGATTTTGCAGGCCACATCAGCGCACAGACTCTGGCTCTATTCCCTGGATCGATTGCGGCCGGTTCTTCTAATGCGGCCATCAGGCTTGGACGATCTTGGGTGTCGACTATCGCTACTTTGAGAGGACGATCTCAACTAAAGTGCACTTACACACACCAGGATGCCAGCCAACAGCGTTGATGGTTTTTCTCCACGGGTCCTGTTCTCAAACCTAATTATATGTGTGCCGAGCTTATTTGGGAGTGTTTTTGTTCTGAGGCTATTCCAGCTCTTGGCTTAGCGATGCAAATGCACTATAATACTACAATGGTATGCCAAGGTGTGCCTCAGTTTGTGTTCTTTTTCCTCTCTCTCTCTCTCCCCCTCTCTTTCGCTCCCTCCCTCCTTCGCTCCCTCCTTCGCTCCCTCCTTCGCTCCCTCCTTCGCTCCCTCCTTCGCTCCCTCCCTCTCCTCCCTCCCTCCTGTCTTTTTTCTGTTTCTGCCTTTCTCTCAGGTCAGCGCAGATGCTGGAATGCATGGTCAGAGATCTTTCTTCTTCATTGCCTCATGTGCTTTTTGTCGGTCGCTTAATTGCTTAATGCACAGAATACAGAATACATCACTTCAGCCTGCAGCTCTTATTGTGCGATAGCTCGTGTGCCGTTTCCCGCAGCTCGTGGAATCTGGTTGTTTCGGTTTGACAAAGCTGATTCGCATCTGAAATGGCTTCGGCTTTTGTTTCAGGTGATGCCAACAGCGCCAACCCGCGCCTGGAGAGCTCAGAGAAACCAGCCGCCAACACTCGTTTCAGATGTTTCATGATAATTCAATTCGACTTAAAGAAGGTGCTCAGGACTCAGGAGTTACCTACCATCACCTACCCATATCTACCTGTGGTATCTAGTAGCCACAGCATAGCTAAGCCGCGCGAAGCCTCGTAAACCATAAGGCCATAAGGAGTCAAAAGAAGAAAGGTTTAGCATCTGCAGATGAACACCATAAGAAATCCGTGAAACGCGAAAATAAACAGCACGGGGCAAGTACTTCCATCACTGCTCGATTCCACAATCTGTCGCTGTTGCTTGAACTGACTGGTTTTCCAGAGCCCTCACAGCACAAACATTCTTTTGGGGTACCAAACGAACGCGCAACAGAAGTTGCAAGAAGAAACTTTCCAGCTAGACGATGTCCTAGAAGTAGCGTTATGTTCTTGCAAGAAACACTGTACTCGTAGCATAGAGGAGTGTGCCAGAATGCGCACACATTGCATGAGCCAGACATCCACAGCCCTGGAACATAAGGAGCTGATGAGGGTGGTCGATTTGTTATTTATGTTTGCTTTGTTTTGCATGGGAACAGCGTAACTAGATTCGTTGCTTCAATTAATCACAGTGGTTGAGTCCATCTGAGTTCAGTTCAGTATGCTGGGAAAGAATACTTGGCCTACTCGACTACTCTGATCACTATCTCGATTTCACAAGGATGCTTGGGGCGTTGGACCTGCCTGACTCTGAGATACAGATGATTGACACGAACGGCAGGTGAGTGTAATACGTGATGATTAGAAACGGTTTCTTGCTTGGTTTTGACCTGCCAACAGCCTAGCATGCCTGTATGATGCCTGGTCCAAGCAAGCCAAACTGTCGTAGAAGTAAGTGCAACAGCATTTGTTTTTCCTTGCATACCTAAATGAACTTCCATGCCAAATTGCCAGATGACATATCTTGAGATGGCAGATGCGTGTATCTAAGAAACGCATGAACTTCGGCATTCGTGATCGTTAGATCTTTGTCTTTGGAGTGACGCGAAGCTCGCCCGACAAAACTGGGACTATCCAAACGCGTCACGCTTCCCCAATACTCCTGGAAGATCACTCAGGGCCCCATCTCTGCCTTTGATGAAAGAATGCGCAGCGGGCTGCATCACAGGACCACGAAGAGCCTCACCCTTTTCATCGCGTGCGCCGACCAGGTCGCCATCACCTGCCAGAAAGCCAAAGCCAGTTGGCCGTGTTGACCGGCCAAGAGCCGCCCGAACCTGGAACCTCCAAGCAAGCGCAATCTAGCACCTCTTAAAGCAACTGTCGAGGGGTATCCAGTTGCCGAAGCAGCACCTCCTCAGCATCCTTGCCGCCTTGGCACCAAGAGTACAAGGACAAAATCATAAAACATCATTCTCATATTCATCTTTCTGGCCGGAGTGAACAGAGCAAAGGGCGCCAATGCGCGACCGAAGTGTGTGTGTCTCTCTCTCTCTCACTCATTTCTTGCGGGTTTTTTATTCTGTTCATTGTTTGCGTTGTAACTTGCACTTGTGCAGCTACCCTTCTTGGACAAACTTCAGGCCTGGTTTGACCACACCCGGTCGGCCAAAAAAGCCGAGTCATTGGAGGTCGAGAGAAGCTGATGCTTGGAGCTGAGTGAAGTGGTTGAAGATTCGGTAAAGATGTGACAGGCTTGCCGCACCGAGCTGTTGGCTCTGTTGAGTTCTCAAGGCAAGGTGGGCTGTATTGCGCGCCCGTTTTTCCCCAAACAGAAAGGATCAGAAAGGACACCCTGTGGGCTCCTACAGTGTGCCTTCAAATCGAGGGTGCTCGCCCCTGTAATCTCACGTGTGTGCTGGCTCGTTTGTGTGCTCTCAGGTGTTTGTTCAAATATATACATATGTGATATGTGTGCTTTCATTAAAAAACATGTGCGCTCGCATACCAGTTCTCTCATGTTCATGTTCTCATGCGCTGCGCGTTCTCCCGTGCGTGCGCGTGCTCTCAGATGTGTGTTCTTTTTTACACCCCGGCTGTTGTACGTGCGGACTAGCATGGAAACCTTGTGCTGTTCTACTCAACACTGCGGGGTATATATATATATAATATATTGTTATATATGACTATATCCTTTGGAAGAGCTGATGGGTCGTGACGTACCACACAATGGTTTAGGTTCCCGTGAGATTTTGATTCTGTCCTGCGTGTTTGTCCATTCTACAACGGCATACGATGCGTTCATTGTCCATCTCTGTTTCTCCAATAGGAAATGGAACATGTCAGGATTGCTTTTAGGGCCATTGTTAAGCCTGGCAGAGTAGTTGAAATTGGAGTTTGCAGGTCATGGGTGGGAACCTTATGTATTCTAGGTGCCCCTGGAGGTCATGACCACCGTTTTATATCTCAGGAGACTGACGTGAACATCCAATAAAATCATCTATATAAATAGCTGCCTTATGACTTATCACCCTTGGTTTGCGCTGTCAGAATCATCACACGGTTTTTTCAATCGAGTTTTGACATCTAAGCTTCGCCTTGTGCAGGTCAGGAGTGGGGCATCCCTCCTGAGCGTGTGGTGCTCGCGGGGTTCTCTATGGGAGGGACAGTGGCAGCATGGACGGCTCTTCAGGCGCCAATCTCAGAACGATGCTGCTTTATGATGCTTTATGTCTATGCGCCGCTCAAGAGATGAGAATGTCAGCGTGATAGATGGAAGTTGCAGCGATGTCCAAGACTTGTTTCTTTCTTTCTTTCTTTCTCTCATCCCTTCCTTCAGGTTCCTCGATGCCTTGCCGGCTTGCTGCTATTTGGCACTGAAGGTGGAGATGACGTCAAGACTAAACAAGACTGCGTTGTAATGCATTGTCCCTTGAGAGTTGGCAGGTCTCAGCTTCACAGGTGGATGGGCATCGCCCAAAACCCTTTGTGGCTCTGGATCAGACCGAGACTGAGCTGCTGCTTCGCCATTTGATGCACTTTTGTTTGTAATTGTTTGCTTTACGGGTTAGAAGCAAATTCTGCAAGGAATGGGCAACTGGAGCGGATGGTTTGCAGGTCCTTCAATGTCAGAGCCCTCAGACATTTTTTCAGGTGTTGACAAATATGCGCAGCACTGCACGGCAATGTTCGCAAGGTCATGGGCGAGAGGACCTTTGCTGCTGCTTCATTGAAAAACGTCAATGATTGCGTCCAATTTAGGACACTTTGTGCCCGCTTGGATTTGCGACTACTTGCACAGATGAGCTTCGAAAGCTTGGTTGTAGCTCACGCCCAAGCTTGACAATCATGTGATATCATGCGTTCCAAGCCTTGTGAGCGAATTGCATTTGCCTTTTGCCCGGATTTCAGGTGTCCGATCGCTAGCTTTCCGTGGTGTTGGACATGCATTATCCTTTGACATGCTGGAGGAGGCACTAGAAGATATAGGTTTCAAACATTTGGACAACTGTCGGAATCATTTTCATTACTGTAAATCAGGCCAAACTTTGGCTTCAACAAAGAATACCATAATTGTAATATCAAATCAAAGAAAAATACATATAAATACAATACCATATGATATTCGTTCGTTTGTTCGGTCGGTCGTTCGTTCGTTCGTTCGTTCATTCCTTCGTTCGTTCGTTCATTCATGCATTCATTCATTCATTCATTCACTTCCAGCAGAGTGTCATCCTTTGCCTGTGTTGGGCATCAATGGACGAACAATCGGATGCTTCTAGAGCATCAGTGGCCCAGATCGGCTGTGCCGTCAAAAGATCTATGCAAAACTGGCTGCCAACTGACGAAAGGGATTGACAGCTTGCGAAGGCAGTGGTGTTTGCCAGCCGGTGCTAACATCATCCTTAGTCACAAGCCAAAACAGGTGTTTGCATCTCTGTGCATTTCCGCTTTCTGGCGGATACGCCACGTCGGCTCTCCGTCATCACATTCGGTTTGAAATTTAATGGCAATCCGAAAACCCTGCCAGACTGTACGGGAGCATGACCTCAGAGCGATCCCAACGAACATGAGTGGTGTTCTTTTGGCTTGGTGGGAAAACGTGCAATCTGAAGGCATATGGTGCATTGATGTTTCACGAATGCATACCAAAAGGGCTCCTGAGTGTGCCACGCCATGATCAAGGATTGAAGCGTGCAGTCGGCTTTTTGCGGACAGGGCAGAACGATCGGTGCCCACAGCAAACCCTGGTCCTCAAACGTTCGATCAAGCCTTGCCTCCCAAGAGCAGTCAATGGAAAACAGGGCTTCACGAAACCAACCCGCAAACTCCCCCGCAGCATGCTGGAGGCCCTGTGCATGATGCATGTACCATGTATGGAAAAGTGTCTCAAAAGGACACGGCGGTGCGAAGGAGCAAGCCTCCCGGACCTATTAAGAAGCAGGTCTAAAATTGTGTTTCCCCAAACAGTGTGGATACACTTAGGGGTTCTTACGGTAGTAGAAAAGCAGCTGATGCTTGGATCGCTGAAGCGCGCGGGCGTGTGCGGCTAATTCGTTGCTATTTACAGCACATTCAGGCCTCTCGACATCGTCAATGTGCATGTCGACTGCGCAGGCTCGCTGAATCTGGGTGTTTGCGGCGGGTGCTTCTAACGACTGCGCTCTCATTGTGGCGCCGTGCGCATTTTCGCATATGGTGACCACTTTCGTGGCAGGCGTAAGGGAAACCTCGTGCTTTTGGTGCTCCAAAGTCGACTTTTCGTGACAGGTGCAAGGGATCGGAGGTGTTTGACTTCGAAATGCAGTTTTCATGGCAGGTGCAGCACTTTGGACATGGTGGTAATCGTCGAGGAGCTCAGATTGCGTGATAGGTGCAGTGAACCGTGACTTGTGGACATGTGGCTCGTTTGCAGATTTCGTGGCAGGCGCAGCACTCTAACCCTCGATGCGCAGATTTCGTGGCAGGTGCAGCACTTTGTGAACCTCCAAGTGATTTCGTGGCAGGCGCAGCGCTTGGTGAACCTTTCGCGGGCAGGTACAGCGCTTGGTGAACCTCGAAGTGGAGATTTCGTGGCAGGCACAGCGCTTGGTGAACCTAGAAGTGCAGATTTCGTGGCAGGCACAGCGCTTGATGAACCTCGAAGTGCAGATTTTGTGGCGCGCACAGCACTTCGTGAACCTCGAAGTGCAGATTTCGTGGTAGGTGGCAGGCGTAGCGCTTTGTGAACCTCGAAATGCAGATTTCGTGGCAGGCACAGTATTTTGTGCTCTCAGATGTTCACTCTCATTCTCATTCACTCACACTCACACTCACTCTTCACTCACACTCATGCACACTCACACTCGCTCCCACTCGCACTCACTCTCACTCTCACTCACACGCGCACTCATACTCACACTCACTCACTCTCCCACTCCTCTCACACTCCTCATACGCGCGCCCACTCTCTCCCACTCTCACCCTCACTCACTCCTCATTCACGTTCACACTCGCGCTCACATTCGCGCTCACACTCACTCACACTCATTCTCACTCTTGCTCTCGCTCTCGCTCTCACGGGAGCATTTTTCAAACACCAATGCGGTGCGTTATGCTTGCCCACATCTGGGCTTGAAACACGGAGTTCATAAAGCATTCATTGCCTGCGTTCATAAGGCAGAGCTGCATCGTCTCCAAAATCCACGTCGAAATTTCTGTGCAATGGCTGCGGCTAGCGGATTGCATGTAGCGTGGATTGACGAACATTGATTATCACCAATTTTGTGATTCGCTGGCCCATGAATCGAAGCAAAAGATTATCGATCTTCTGGGATTTACGTATCTTTAAGAACGGACTAGACGATTGATTGATCTTTGGAAATTTGGTCCTCCGTCAAAAGGCCATAATATTTAAAATTTATAAATTAAATTAATTTGGTATTTTTACAATATATATATAATATAATATATATTTAAAAATATATTATGTATTTTAATATTTATATTTTATTGCAAATAATAAATATATATAAAATTATTTAATTAATTGTTATTTTTTTAATGAAAAAATAAATATATATGGTTGTCGATCTAAAGGTCTTAGTTAGTAGTGTGTATGACGATGATCCGGAACATATTAAAATCTCATTTGGCGAAAGTTTTTTTTCGAGTTGGCGAAAGTAAATTTTTTTGGCGAAAGATTAAATATATACCCTTGTATGAATGTTTATTTGCTTTCTGAATAGCTGGTGGTAGTGATTCAAAAGTTAGATGAGCTGTAGAAGTTAAATAAGTTGCTGCTGCTACGATTATTACTACTACTACTACTATTATTACCACCATTATTACCACTATTACTACTACTACCATTATTATTATTATTACTACTATTACTACCACCACTACTACCACCATTATTATTACTACCATTACTACTACTACTACCACTATTACCACCACTACCACTACCACTACTACTACTATTCTTACTACTACTATTATTATTATTCTTGCTCCTGCTTTGAAGGGTTGTTTTGCCACAAAACTCTACCCCGCAAAAGGCGAAAATTCGGCGAAAGTTTAGCTCAAGATTGGCGAAAATTCACCCTGCCATATTTAATTCTTAATCCATTATGAATAAGTTTGAGTGACCGGCTACTATAGTGATTCCTGCAAATTTGAGTTTTGCTGACACCTAGGAGAAACAAAAGAGACGTATAGGGTGTTAACAGTTAAGTAGAAGACGCATGTTGACAAACAGTGAAATTTCTATTTTGTGTTTGCTAATAAAGAAGAAGCCATTGACGTGAACAAAACACAACATATATGGCACACATAAATACAACGTACTTCGGCGAAAGATAAAACGCAGGAAGGCGAAAGTTTGGCGAAAATAATTTTTTTTTTGGCGAAAATGACGGATCCCGGATAAAGGAATTTAGATTAATTCCCATATAATATTTAAATAATTGAATATAATTGTTTGAAATTGATATAAAAATATATATTATTTAATTATTTGGATTATATAATTTATTTAGGTTTTTAAATTTTTTTATATTTGGAATGTTGGGAAAAGGATTATTTATTATAAAATTGTAATATAAAGATTTTTAGAAATATATTGTAAAAAATATAAAAACATAGATACAATAGAATATATTTTAATATATATATATTTAGTTATATAATTTAAATAAATATATGTATTATATAATTATTGGTCCTATTAATATTTATATATATTTTATTGTTGAGGTTTAAAATTAATAATGTAAATATTTAAATTTTATAAAATAATTAAATTAAATAAATATATTTATATATATGTATTTTTTAAAATTTATAATATTTTGATATATTTAAATATTTAAAATATGATTTATATTATTTAAAATCAATATTTTTTGGTTTTTTATATTTATAATATATTTTTAATTATAGAAATTTGTTTATTTATTCTATAAATTGAGCATTGGAAATATATATTTATAATATTATAAGGAATTATATAAATTTTAACAAACAAAAAAATATATTATATATAGTTTCGATTAATATATATATAATTCTATATGGGGCACCCGGCAGCAGTCAGCCCTAAAGGGGGCACCAATGGGGGCATGCTTGTCCTTTTTCCCACTGACCAGCACATCCATTTCGTTCAGCAACAGATTATCGATGGTTGTGGGTGGTATGCAGTACATTGGAGTTTCGCAAGCCTGGACTTGATAGTGATGATGGTGTACTTCAAATGTGGAGAAGGTATTCAGGGAGCCACTAACACGTTGCTTTGGTCGGGCTTGCTCACCTTTGTTACAGGGTTGGTGAAACCGGTCATTGTTCTTGGCGACTTCAATGTCACGCCGGAGGAGTTCATGACCACATCCATGAGTTCAATCATGAAGGTTCAAGTCATTGCCACAGGTGAGGATACCTGCTCCACAGGCAGGGAAATTGATTGGGGCTTTGCAAGTGACTACTTGGTTGCTGATTTGCGGGTTGAAGCAGACTGGATTGTGCCTTTCCGACCACACGCGCTCCTTAAGTTCAGTTTGGACAAAGGTGTGGAACACATCTCGCTGCAACAAATTGTGCGATTCAACCCCGCGCCAAGGTTGGAGAAGATTCGCACTGAGTGGACCAAGATACCAGAACATGTTCCTGATGTCAACTGGCTGAACCGCCAAAATGATCCTCTGACCATGACAGCGGGAGCTTTGTACAGCAGGATTGAAAGATATGTGCTGCAAAACATTGATAACCCAAAGCTGGGGAGAGGCACCCAGCTGACCTATGTCAATCGACCACTCGCTGATCCTGGTCGACCCTGGATCTGGCGCAAAGGAGGACAAGCCTACTGGGCACAAGTTGAAGTACGATTGCAACAGCACCTCCATCGTACTCAGAGGGACCACAGCAAGCTGCATCATTTACAACGGCTGGGGTGGCATCTTGCCGCTCACTGGCATGGTGATGCAAAGGTCACTCTGGAAGGTTTCAAACTCCTGTTTGACATGTTGTGGACAAATCATGATGAGGAGCACATCCAAGTCTTGCTCAAGTTTGCCAAGGAGCAACGTACGCTGCAT